TTTTTTTTTTTTTCAAACGGGGCCTTATGGTCACGGCTCCATTCTATTCTGGGGAGCGTCAGTCCGGTTCCTATTCCACCAGCAAGTCCAGAATTAATACATCATTGGGCACGCATCCTTCCATCTGGCCGAAGGACCCCTGGACAGCATTGATTGCTCCATCTCAGCGGAGGATTGACTGCCAGCTTGCCCATTCCCTCTCTTTCCTCTCAGACCGAAAATTTAGGTCTTCCAGATGCCATCATTTAACCTAGAACAAGACCTTCTATTGTCATTATCAATCCGAGTCCTTTTCACTCCACCTGCCTTTCCTTTTGCCTGAGCAACCCCTAAAACCCTAAACCCTGAAACCTCGTCCTTTGTGGCAGTTCCGGTATATCATCCTTACTGTTTCTGGCCCTGTATCTGTTGCAATCTCCTTCCAGCAGCATCTCGTCTTTTTGCAATTATGTCGTTTGTTGCCTGACCCGTGACTTCCCACAATCCATCCCTATGTCTACCATTTCCCTTCCTTTCCCTCCCAAGGTTCCTCCATCTTTTCCTCCATTCACTCTCTCGTTCCTTGGTTTGAGAGCTTCATTGTGTCCGCCGAGCACCGACCTCCGTCTTTCCTTTGATTCCATGTCCCCTAACCCTGCTCCATGTTCAGAAACCCCCCTTACTCGTATTTATTATCGGTCTGCAACCAGATCCCCATTGTTGTGTGCCTGAAGTGGTGACCCGAGAGCGGAGCTGTCTCACTTCCATGGTCTGGTTCTGTGCTCCGCTGTTCCAGATTCCTTCTTGAAGCAGAGTTGTGCCATTCCTTCCAGCATATGCGGTCATCCCGCATCTCCGCAATTTCCCCCCCTACTAACCACGTCTTGATGAACTTGCACCCATAGGGAGGTCTTCCTGATATGCTCATACCAGATCCTTTCTGCTTTCCGTTGCCACTTAGGGATGTCAATCAGAAGGAGGAGTTGGATGAGTTTCTCAGGGAATATATTAGGCAGTGTACTATATCCTCTACTGGATTATCCATGCATACCTTACAAAGGTCAGAACTATCCGGTGCAAAATCTTTCCTCCTGATATGCAACCACTGATTGACTGGTAATGCTGCGTAAGTGACTAACCACTGAAGGCTTCTGATTTTGACTGGTCGCTGAGTCAGTTTCTTAAGTTTCTATCCTTGTTTTTTTTTGCAGAATGAGATATTAAAAACTGACCAGAACAGAGACGACACTCGATCTTAGCCAAAAGGCCGATTCCATCCTAGTCCTGTTTGTTTACATCAGCGAAGAAGATATTCTTTGTTTGTCATGAAATTTATAATAATATAAATTTATTAAATTATATAATTGTATAACAGTTTAAGACTAGCCTCTACGATTATTGTATCCAGGCTCATGCAGCTGATTTAACCAGGATTCGAACGCAGGTACATGTGTGTGGCAGTGGCAGTACTGTGTACTGCTACGCCACAGGGGCTGGGTTCCACTGAGGGTAGCTGCATACCAAAAATTTTCTGAATTTATCTGGCCATAATATGTTTAGGTTAAGTGGGAGAAATCTGGAAAAGACAAATGCCGTGAGATTCTGGGTGCTTCTGTGGGTGGTATTACTACTGCGACAAATCTCTGATTCATTAATTATTAGTTAATAGTTAATGATTATTTAAAAATGTCAGGTGGTTAAAAGGTACGCAGACGAACTAGAGAGAGAGTGTTCGAGAGAGTAATCCCTACACTTATAGAAATCACTTTTTGGCGCACAACATTTGGCCGATCTGGGCCGTCCGTGGCCTGCCGGTCGACGGCCCGGATTTCTGCGCGATCTTAAGACTTTGAGACTTTAAGACAAAGATCGCGCGACGATCCAGACCGTCTGCCTCGCCGGACGGCCTGGATCGTCGCGTGATATTAAAGTCTTAAGATCGCAGGACAATTCGAGCCATCGGTCTGGTAGGACCGCGGGCGGCCTGGATCGTCGCGGCCGTTGAAAAGAGGGCCCGTCGTAAAAGAACTGCCCCGACACCTGTTGGCCGTCGGCCCTTTGCAGGGACGGCGGCGCTATGGCCCTGCTCGCGTCGAATGGCCTTTGACTTTGCGCCCTTGACTTGCAAGGCTGTACTCCAAGGTGACTCCGTCTCTGCCCACCTCCCCTCCGTCTCCGCCCACCTCCCCTCTGCCCCCCCCC